AGAGTGAAAAAAAAATCCTTCTAACTATAATCAGTTTTCTTTCGAATAAAATGTCCTTTGTTGATAGATATTGAAGGAATGAGTATTTTTGAAGGAAAAAAAAGAGTTATTCGACTCATGCCATGTTGAGTCAGCGCATTAGACTTCTGTTCGCCTTCTTTTCTTTGGGGTTTTTTAATAAATTTACATCATGCATCGAGTTGGAGCATAGAATTGGTCGTAATAGAACAAACGCAGGAAAGACAATTACGAAAAAAACGGCAAAATAAATACTAACAAATAGCGGCTATTTGGATACAATATTCCAGTTTCGAATTCTCTTTTGTGCAAGCTTAGCTTCAATCAAGCATAAATTTGTATTGTATTTGTATTGTCTTCTTTGTACACAGAGATTTTGCATTACAATATAGGATCTCTGCTGAATAAATAAAAGAATATATTACGTGCTTTCGAGGCTAAGGCTGCGCAAATAAGATCTCGAAACAGGAATATTTGTCAGTATCAATGAACCAGAATGCAACCAAGATATATCCAAACTCTGCCAATCTGAATTAACAGAGCGAAAATTAATCTTGACTATATCTTCAAAATGCACTAAATATTTAACCAATATTGAAATGTTTCATTTCATAATCTCATAGAGAGTGTTTATGTTTACTCATTTTGCAATTTCTATCATCTGTAAGAAAAAAGATGGTCTTGACTGATTCAACCTCAAAAAACATTCAACAAAAGCACAACAAAAGGTTTCCAAACCACTCCCCCTCTATTGTTGGTTTGATAGGAATGCAATTGGTCGTAACATTATAGTGTGGCTTTACTAATGGCTTGTTATGTTTTTTTGTTTTTATGCCCTATGTCTCCTTTTATCAAGTATTATATAACCTTTTATACTCGATACTCATCGTTTCTTCAATTTCAAATTTACTAGACGCACTTATGATTAGACGTCTTAGCCGTCTTCTAGTATAAATACGGCCACTATCTGTGCTTAGCATTTAGTAAAACAAGTACCTCTTTTGACATAATCATGATTAGACTCTAGATAAAATATCCGTTCCATACAAACGTCTCTGTTAGGTGTTTCAAAGTTCGCATTGAGGATTCTAACACATATTTTTCTAAACAACTTAGGTTATTATCCTATAGGTTTCCCACATTAGTTTGCTTGGATTATATGAACTCTAGCTATGTTTAAACACTACTTGCGATTTGTAACTATGTTATGAATCACGACGTGGAAAGAAGAAGTAATGAATAACGTAGCTATAACGATTAGCAATAACAATTCGACAATGGACGACTCGCTTGAGCAGGTCCTCTGAAAGACAGGAAAGAGTAGACCTCTGTGCGACGCCCTATCGCCCATCGCTAGTTTAAAGCCTTGTAACTTCATAATTTCAAACATCTATTCAATATAACTTGATAGAAAGTTAGTTCTCTATTAGAGCTACCTTCTGTCTTAATTTTATCCTTGAATTCAACTTAGAACTATCTCGGGGCATAGCATTTTTGTATTCTGCCTCAGTTGAATTATCATTAGTAAACTCATCAAAAGTATGTGCTCAATATAGCTTGCCAATTACTGTCATTTTGTATTTGTAAAATATGCACTATAGAAATGTAGATTAAAATTGTTTAGCCTAGGGTTGGAAGCTGCAAAAATAAGGTTTAAAGTGAATTTTTGGTGTCCTTTCCGATTAAACCTTTTGATCCAAGTACCGGCTCTTGGTAGTAACACTTGCCCACAGCTGTTTTCTGGCATAGATCGCTTTATTAAAAGCGAACACAACGGGTGACCACACAACATTATTGAACGATAATTAGTTCCGGCAAAATTTCATATCTGCATGACGTATATTCGGTACAAATTATCAAGTTCATCCATATCGTACCATGGGAGAAATAAATGTCTCTTTTGAATAGACTTAATCGGCCAACGCGTTGCTATGCACGGTTACCACCCAATAATTCAAATTCTGTGGGGAGGAGAAATTTTGTTTCTAATAATTCATCTGTGAAATGAAAATACAACGAACAATGAAACTTACTCCCAGGTTGTTTGAATTGRGTGGAAACGCTTATCAACGCATTAGCCGATTAGAACTATTTTGATAAGGAAAGTTAAAATGACGTGACGTCATAACAGATGTCATTTAAAAAATGTTTATAGTCAGGTTGCAAACCACTTTCCTATCAATACTCGTATCTCACCACCATGGCTAGTGTTTTTTCAGTCAGTAATTCGACATTAAGTAACACTACTCGGGCTTCAGATGTTTGCGATGAAATATATTATAGTCCTTTAGAGAAAGATTTGAAGAGAAGCGCATACTTTATGGTCGCAGTAGTTGGGATTCTCAGCAATCTCTTGGTGATATTCGCAGCTATTAAACACATAGAGCGCAAGAACCTGCATCACTTGATCATCAACATGGCCGTGTCAGATACTATTTTTATCAGTGTTCTGACTTACGAGAACTCTAAATGGTTGTTTAGTGTTCAAAACATTTATCCTTATGGACTTCCTGGCGATATCTTATGCAAGGCTAGAGGATTTCTTTTTGAAGTGTCATACAGAGTTTCGTTGGTCACTCTGCTTGTTATCAGTATTGAACGATTCAGGGCAACCAGGCTTACTTTTAAAAGAGTACGGCCTTATACAATGAAAAAACGCATTGCAGTCATCTTTGTCTGTTGGTTCCTGCCCATGTGCCTCTACGCTTCGTACCTCGGAAGAGCGGAATTTGGAGCTGCTTCTAGGTATTGCCGTTCTAACTTCGATGAAAAGATGTACATTGATGCGGTCTCTTCATTCCTTACTGTTGTTATCCTAGGGGTAACATCTAGTCTTAGTGCCCTGNAGTGTGTGGTAGCACATGCAAAGCGAAGGAATTGTCTTCGGTGTCGTATCTTTTTTGGCGCCTGCATTCAGCGTTATTCCAAACTAAACATCCAATGAGAGTCGGTGTCACATGACCGCCATTTTTGAAAAAAAACAACAACAACAACAGAGAAGCCCTGGAAACAAGGTTCACCTACATGCAAAACATGTGCAAACAAAGGAATATCAGCTAACTGTTATCTTGTTAATATCAGTTATCAGCTAAATAAAGCCGAAATTCTCAGTTAACAGTTATTATTTTAGCCGTTTCTCAGTTAACAGTTAACCCCATTCAGACCCTGATTCAATTCCTCCTAATTCGAGCCATGACACTACTTGTGTTATTATGTATATTTTTTGTCATACTGTATAAGGAGACCTCCTTCGGTTTTAGCTAAGATCTTTTGAACACTATTCAACAATTGATTCAAAGCAATTCTTGAGCAAACAACTTAAATGGGCTCAAAATGTTTGCACGGGCTCAGGGATCAAACATTTGGTGAGAATCGGGCTCAGGGATCAATATTTTCACCATGAAATAGGGCTCACTAGATCCTAGATATACCATGTTACGAGTCTGCTAAGACGTCAAGATGACCTTAGGCCCCAAAGACGTCCTAAACTTCAAGTATAAAATCGAGAAAAAATGCTGACGACACAGACGTCTGACAGCTAATTACTGTAAGTAGACGTCTAAAATTAAGGACATCGAAACAATGCATGCAACGATGATAAAGTCCTACGATACAAATCGTGACAAAATGATAATATAAACACGACTTTACAAGTAAAACGGAACCAAATACAAAATATATAATAGAACAACACGAAGTGATATAAACTGACTTACAATAATAAGGTTAGAAGCCTGTTGAATCACGACGTGGAAAGAAGAAGTAATGTATAACGTAGCTATAACGATTAGCAATAACAATTCGACAAAATGGACGACTCGCTTGAGCAGGTCCTCTGAAAGAGTAGGCCTCTGTGCGACGCCCTATCGCCCATCGCTAGTTTAAAGCCTTGTAACTAATTTCAAACATCTATTCAATATAACTTGATAAAAAGTTAGTTCTCTATTAGAGCTACTTTCTGTCTTAATTTTATCCTTGAATTCAACTAAGAACTATCTCGGGGCATAGCATTTTTGTATTCTGCCTCAGTTGAATTATCATTATTAAACTCATCAAAAGTATGTGCTCAATATAGCTTGCCAATTACTGTCATTTTGTATTTGTAAAATACGCACTATAAAAATGTAGATTAAAATTGTTTAGCCTAGGGTTGGAAGCTGCAAAAATAAGGTTTAAAGTGAAGTTTTGGTGTCCTTTCCGATTAAACCTTTTGATCCAAGTACCGGCTCTTGGTTGTAACACTTGCCCACAGCTGTTTTCTGGCATAGATCGCTTTATTAAAAGCGAACTCAACGGGTGACCACACAACATATTATTGAACGATAATTAGTTCTGGCAAAATTTCATATCTGCATGACGTATATTCGGTACAAATTATCAAGTTCATYCATATCGTACCATGGGAGAAATAAATGTCTCTTTTGAATAGACTTAATCGGCCAACGCGTTGCTATGCACGGTTACCACCCAATAATTCAAATTCTGTGGGGAGGAGAAATTTTGTTTCTAATAATTCATCTGTGAAATGAAAATACAACGAACAATGAAACTTACTCCCAGGTTGTTTGAATTGRGTGGAAACGCTTATCAACGCATTAGCCGATTAGAACTATTTTGATAAGGAAAGTTAAAATGACGTGACGTCATAACAGATGTCATTTAAAAAATGTTTATAGTCAGGTTGCAAACCACTTTCCTATCAATACTCATACCTCACCACCATGGCTAGTGTTTTTTCAGCCAGTAATTCGACATTAAGTAACACTACTCGGGCTTCAGATGTTTGCGATGAAATATATTATAGTGCTTTAGAGAAAGATTTGAAGAGAAGTGCATACTTTATGGTCGCAGTAGTTGGAATTTTCAGCAATCTCTTGGTGATATTCGCAGCTATTAAACACATAGAGCGCAAGAACCTGCATCACTTGATCATCAACATGGCCGTGTCAGATACTATTTTTATCAGTGTTCTGACTTACGAGAACTCTAAATGGTTGTTTAGTGTTCAAAACATTTATCCTTATGGACTTCCTGGCGATATCTTATGCAAGGCTAGAGGATTTCTTTTTGAAGTGTCGTACAGAGTTTCCTTGGTCACTCTGCTTGTTATCAGTATTGAACGATTCAGGGCAACTAGGCTTACTTTTAAAAGAGTACGGCCTTATACAATGAAAAAACGCATTGCAGTCATCTTTGTCTGTTGGTTCCTGCCCATGTGCCTCTACGCCTCGTACCTCAGAGCGGAATTCGAAGCTGCTTCTAGGTATTGCCGTTCTAACTTCGATGAAAAGATGTACATTGATGCGGTCTCTTCATTCCTTACTGTTGTTATCCTAGGGGTAACATCTAKTCTTAGTGCCCTGACAGTTCAACAGCTGTACACCAACAGTCAGAAAATCACGTTCAACATGATGGCATCAGAGCAGTATTTCTTAAGACGTCRGCGTCAGATAAAGGCGACTGTTCGTTTAGTTATGGCGTCTACAATTCTGTATTCATGCTGCTGGCTACCTTACCTTGTGTACAATTTCTTAGTGAGCATGAATATGTTGCCGTTGAATGACTCTCAAGAAAATCAGCCTTTGATCAATCTTAACAAGCTTTGTATAGATGGGAAAGCTTTTAAATTTTTTAAAGACCTTCTTCTACCTGCTCTCAACTCTTGTCTAAGTCCTTACATTTACATGGCATTCTTACCTGACTTTCGAGAAGCCATCAAGAAGCTTTTCCGCTGTTAATTGATGTCGCATCGCATAAAAACAATTTCCTAAACTGGAAAAGAACATTTTCAAATCAGCAGATCGTTTTGAAACCTAACCTGCCTTAAAAAGGAATAAAGTCAGAGTTCCAGAGGTAAAACTGGAAAGACGCAGGCACTAATGATCTGGAACAACTATCGATCGATACAATTACAATGTAGAAAGGACGGAGGAAAGAAAAAACTTAGAGTATAGCGAATATACACTTTCACTATGTTTCTTACAATTTATTCATTTGTAAATATTTCTCACTTTGTTTTGTTTTGTTTTGTTTTTTTGTTTTGTTTTGTTTTTTTTTTTTTTTTTTTTTTTTTTTTTTTTTGTTGTTGTTGTTGTCCATGTGCATGACTTATGAATTAGTGTAAAAAGACTAAACTGCGGAAATTGAATTGAATTGAATTGAAAAAAAGAGTAAAACGCTTATAATACAAGAGACTGTAGTGATCATCATTAGCGAAGCGCAAAATATTACATTTTACTAAGTAGCATTATAAATACATATTTTACGAACTAACATTAACACTGCCGTCAGTTAAAAAATGTGACTACATTTTCCGGATTTTTAGTGAAGTCTGAGTACAAATTTTACAGAAAAAAAAGAGAAATAACAATTATCAAAGCCTCGTCGTCAATTCGATTGAAATCTGTCTGAACATTTTAAATGTTTATATTGATTCAGGGACCAGTTTATTTAGCTTTGTTTGACAGCATTCTAAACGCTAGCTCAGAAATGAAAGTCTTTTAATTTAACTTCCAAAGTTGCTCTTCAATAWAATGGTTATGAAAAAAGCTCTAGGCTGAAATTTGCTTTTCCGGTATACGAGARATTCAACTTCATATTATTTAAAAGTTTTTTTTATTTGTCGTTTTGAACAATTAAAGCTGAGTCAAGTTTAATATCAATGAAAGAAATGTGATTGACAATGACTATCACATGTACCATCAGTTGGTACCCATCAATGAGAACCGATTCATTAAAAGAGACTCCCTTTAATACACATTAAATTTTTATTGCATAAAGAAACCATATATGAAAAATCGTGTTACTAGCTTTGTAAATTTGGATCAGTTAGCTTTATTTTTACGGAGTGTCTAAACGTCAGGCAGCTGTATTATTTCGGTCTTTATTGCATTCCCCTTGTTGTATTAATTGAAATTACGGTTGTTTCGACGATTTTTAAARAAAAAATTCGACTGCCTGACGTTTAGACACTCCGTTATTTTTATACATATAAGAACCACTTTAGCTTTGGAAACATTTCATTTTAGAAGATGTCAAAAAAAGGCATTGTGCCATTCTTTTATACACCTTTACCATAATGGCTGCAATTGTGCTTTTCCATAATAAAATAGATAAGAATATTTGCTGGAACATCAAAGAACTATCAGAAATATACGTTTTTGGAACGTTTTAGAACTCTGGGCAAAATAGGAAAAAAGTTATGGCGAAATGAAAATACAAAGAAATGTCAGTGTAATCTTCCACCAATGACTGTCTATCTATTTGTCTCTGAATATGAAATATCTGAAAACTTTGTCACTGTTAATGTGAATGAACTACCAGAAATAAACATTTTTGGAAAGTTTTACAGCCCTGGATAAAATGCAAACAAATTTATGGCGAAATGAAAATACAAAGAAATGTATGTAGTTTTCAACCAAGGCCTTTATAGCCTCGTTCCGATGTATTTGTTTTTCTTCTTGCGATATAAAATTATGAATTATTTATTCCCCCTCTGCACCCCAAAACTAAGAATTAATTGTCAGGGGAAAATGTGAAATGTTTTGGATTAAMAATGGATTGATTGACGCAACGTCAAATGTAATAAAAAACTTTGAGTTGATCCAAAATTTTATTCTAATCACAATTCGCAGCGAGCTGTGTGTTCTGTTCAAAAAATGTCACTCACTCTGTACTAGAAGGTCTTACATAATTATGTTCAACTGACTTAGGGGCGATCCATTAGAACTTTTGAGGGAGGGCTGAAAGATTTTGAAAACAAATTTCCTGCACGGTACGAAGGGCAAAAAAAAAAAAAAAATCCTGAAAGGCAAGATTTTAAAAATACTTCACACTAAAGCTTTTGTAAATTTACAAATTAATTCCAATCCCGCGTCTGAAATCCAAAAAAAAAATCTTGCACAGACAAACTATTCCAATCCCTCAAAATTCTAATGGATCTTACCTTAATATTATGCCTTAGATACTAAAGTTTACCATAATCGTAAAATTTTTCTCGATTTCAATTCTGATTGGTCGTGAGCTGTTTGAAATAAAAGTATATATCATGGTCGCAAGATTGCTCTTCTTTTCTGGGATTGTTATCTAATTTTAGAATATTTTTTTTGTGGTAAAAAAAAAACAACAAGTATATGAGCAGGCGCATAGCGTCCTTTACGCATACACGCACGTTCGTACTAGTGGCAAGGAAATATTAAAATTTTCGGGATTTGATGCCTTTTATATGCTCTYGAYRCCCCTCAAAACKCTGAAAATCGCATTTCCAATAGTTATTATTTCAAAATTTCATAGGGGAGGACCCCCTTAATACTCCCGCCTTCGGAGGTCGTTAGCCCCCCAATCCAAAATATGTGTCGCGGTACCGGCCATATGCGTATTAGCCAAAACATCCACGCTACGCGCCTGATGAGGGGTTTTTGAATTGCCAAACAACAATTTTGATGACTCGATAACGAGGACATACAGGAGGACACGAGGACACGAGGACACGAGGACACGAGGACACGAGGACACGAGGACACGAGGACATACACGAGAAACATCCATAAATTTATTGATACTTGTTGATTCTTCTGTGCAAAATTGATTTATCCATAAATTTGTTAATTATATGAATATGTCATCTTCTAGAGCAAACTTAGCATCGTTCTATAATTATATGGAGAGGGAAATTTTTCCTATAGTTTGCATGCTACTTATTAAGTGTTTTTAAAGAAACAAAAGCAATGGAACATTCTTCATTGTTTAAATAATGACAGTTGCATTATCTCTCCATAAAAATATTTATCATGTAATTATCTATGAAATACCTATATTTCTCCATTTCGTAAAATTGATATTTTCACTATAAAATAACACATTCGAGGTTTCTCTATGTTGTGGAAGTAAGAAAAAAAGTTATTTTCGACATAATTTGCTTTCGTATGTAATTATATGATAAACAGAATATTACATGATCGCTTGGAGATACGAATTTTATCTTCTCGTGTTGAAAATCTCTCACTTGTTCTCTACCCTCACTCGTTTTAGATCTTTCCACTCGAAGATAAAATCCGTATCTCCGCGCGCCTTGTAATATCCTCAATATAAGTACTAGTTGAATTTCATATCTTCTTCGTGYTAGAACCAAATTAAATCCTGCGGCCACGACGAACACGACGAAGGAAGCTATCTTATCTTAAATCATTATATTTAATTTGTTTTTTTGTATATTATCTTCATAGTTATTTCTCGGAAAATATTGAAACATCATTCGAACACTCATTTCATATTCAAATTTTCCGGCTTTCTTCCGGCGTTATTTTTTTAAATCTATATTCATTTTTTATCTGAATCATTTTAATTTATTGACGTTCTACTGTAACTTGTAACCATCTAAATAACCTTAGTCGTCCTTTGCCCCAAGATAACTTCAAGAGGTATCAATTTTTCCCTAAAAGAGAACAGAACAATGAACAATGGATGAAGAAAAKTGCCGAGCAAGCAAAAAATCAAAGGAAAAAGTTGCATTCGACTTTATCATGCATGGTATTCAGGAATTATCGTCAAAGCTGGAATCAAGAGAACTTTTCATAAAATACCAAACTGTGGATGCAGTGTCTTAAATAGCATTCCACAGAAATAGTGTTATGCGACATTAGTCACATGACTATTCCACTCTCTTTTGGCTTCTTAACTTCACATAGTTTCCTCAGAACGGCTATAATATTATTGTAGCTTTTAGAAGTTCGTTTGAGACGCTCACAAACGTACAACACGATTCACAACATGTTTCGTAACTTTATTGCTGTACGGTCGAGGTTCAAAGCTGTAGAGAATGATATAAAGATTAACATGATATAAACGATTAAAAATATAGCGAGGAATAGCAAGACTTACATTTTATCCCTTCTAGGCTACATCGACGTATTAACATTAACACTGTGTACACAAAAACTGACTATTACCAGACCCTATACTTATTACGCGGACGCGGCACTAACAATTATCTTAATTATAATATTGGTCACTTGGTAGTACCGTTAGAGCTCCACTGGGCCTCTTGCATTAGTAGAACAAATACTTATTTAACATAATTGTGATTATAAAATATCTGTTTAGCACACAACACGTTTCTATTAGCTGTATTGCAGTATGATTGGATAGAAATTACTTTTGATGTAATAAAGTTTGGTTTACTAATAAGATGTTCAGCCGAGGCTGAGAGTGAAAAGGCTANTTCTAATGCAAAAGGAACTAAAAAGATCCACTGACTTTCGAAATAGCTCTTTTTAATGTCTCATGTGGAGTTGCCCTTATAATTTCCATAGCAAGTTTACGTGAAAATTTCAATAAAGAGGGAATTATTATTCCCTGAAGGCATCTAGTATTAAATTCGTAATTTTATTTCAAGTGCGTTTTTAACTCCAACAGTTTCCCTTTAAGAACTGGAAGGTGTTTTTCTTGTTTTAATATTCTGTTAGATAACTTACAGGAAAGTAGGAAAACACGAGAAAGGTTCTGAAATACGTGATGAGTATAGTGTTG